GGCCTCATGCCCCTACCCTGCTAGGTTACAGGGCAACACGACTCACCCCAGCTCCGGCCAGCATCGTCCCGACAACAACCCTTGGTTTTCCCTTCGAATGCCCCCCCCAAGGCATCCCCAGATCTCTCTACCAGGCCTCGCGCTCCTGCTATCAACAGGTTACAGGGCAACCCCCCAGCACCAGCCAGAGTCGTTCCAGCGTCGGAAAACCACAGATCCATGAATATAACAGCATCAAAGAAGCCTAAAGTACGTGGCGTCAACACAAATGCCGACTACCAGCATACACCAGGTGCGTTCTCTCTACTCCCCTCATCACCCCTTGGATCCCCTCTTCATGCACCTCCTACCCGAAGACCACCATCGCCATCACCTGCCCTGCGCCCCAGCTGCCCAGCTATGGCTGGTGCGCCCGCTGCCTCAGCAGCGCGCCTCTCACCACTGCGCCCGTGCGCGCGTCCGACCAGCAGCGCCCACGCAGACACTTGCGCAGCAACGCAGCAGCGTGTCCGCATTGCCTGCCTAGGCCCAAATACCCTCCCCTGGGCTGGCCTCTTTCTTTTGTGGAAAGTGCAGCGCCTGCTGTGTCTGCGTGGGCCTGGCTGGGGCAGTTTCCAGTAGCTTCCAGTCGGGCCCCAGTGTCTGCGCCCAGGCCCACTTCTACAGTTAAGGGCCTGGGTCCTTTTGGGGTTGGGCACCTACAGGTAGCCGTCCAGGCTTCACCTGTTGGCCGCATTCTCACTGGCTCGCGGAGACTGTGTGACGACAATGCTGCTTTCTCATATGTCCGTGGCCGCTGCGTGATGTGTCGGCCTGACACACTGCAACCACCCGGCCCTGGGCTCAACTGCACAGCGCAGCCCTTGTTGCTGAACGAGCCTGGTGGCTCACGTTTCCCTGTAACCAACTGGCGTGCTGCAACAGACAGTCTGAGTACCCACATATGGAAAATGTCGTAAACAGGCCTCTGGCGGATATTCAGGCCCGCCTTCACTTAGGGTGGGCACGATGCTTGCTGGGCCCCCACTTGCATGTCTGTCGGGGCCCTGTGAGAGCTCAGTCCTCTCACATTTTCAGCTGCAGATGCATGTAGAATGTTGTGCAGTGGAGCGAGACCATTTGCGTTGTCGTGTTTTCGCTATAACAAAGACTGTGTGTGCTGTCGTCTTCGCTATACACAACTCGACGAACTCGCACAAAAAACGAAAAGTGCAACTGTGCCAGACTGTCCCGTCGAAGTTTCACATGACTCGTCAGGAGGTTGAACCTCGACCGACAGTCTGCCCTGTACGCATTTGACAGATGACTCAGACAAAAGGACTCGCCACTCCACTTGTCGCCGAGTTGGCAATACCCCTGAGAGAAAAGTGGCCAACTTCACGCACGCCAACCCTGCAATCCAACTCTGTACGGAGTTTGCCGTTCCAAACCCTGACAGACAAGGATTGCAGTAAGTCTGAGAAACTAGTCTGTCACAGCCAGGGATAACCACTGGCATGACCGCTCGTACGGTCCCGACCGTAGCCGCATCGATCCACCTGAAAGGAGAGTGCAGACGATCGTGACATGTCTATTTTTCATGCTTGCCATCGACAGCTCCACAGGAAAAAACACGACTGTGCCAGACTGTTTTGTCAGACTTTGACCGACTCATCAGGAGAGTGTGCGTGTTGTAGATCTTTGCCACAACATCCCCGGTTCCAACCAGATGACTAGATCCGAAGTCGAAGCAGCTTTACCTCAATTGCGGACAATGAAGCACACTTGAGATGAACCGGTCTCAAAAATGAAACAGTTGTACGTCTATAGCAACCAACGTGGCGCAACAGGAGATTGCATGTGTATGTGTGTGTGTGTGTGCGTGTGTGTGTGTGTGTGTGTGTGTGTGTGTGTGTGTGTGTGTGTGTGTTTGTGTTGTCATATTCGCTCTAGACTCAAAAAAAGCAAGACTGTGCCAAACAGACTATTTCGTCGGACTTTCACCGACTCATCAGGAGGTTGAAGCTGGACAGTCTTCTGCCCAGGATTCATTTGACTGATGGATAAGAACTCGCCACATCGCCCAGAGTTAGCGACACCCATCCCTTGAGAGAGAAATGTGGTTGACTTAATCACACCACCCTTGCAATCTGTGTGTGTGTGTGTGTGTGTGTGCGTGCGTGTGTGGTGTCTAGATGTTCATCACAGCAGCCCCTGTTCCACCGAGATGACTAGATCCAAAACCGAAGCAGCTTTACCTCTATTGCAGGCAATGAAGCACACACTTGAGCTGAGCTGAGCTAATCCAACAATGAAGCAGTTCTACCTCCAGAGCAACCAACATGGAGCTGATTGCATGTGTTTGTGTGTGTTGTCCAGATGCTCATCACAGCAGCCCTTGTTCCGCCGAGATGAGTAGATCCAAAGTCGAAGCAGATTTACCTCTATCGCAGACAATTAAGCACACACTTGAGCTGAGATGATCCAACAATGAACAGTGTTACCTCTATAGCAACCAACATGGGGCAGAATAGATCCTTCCGGTCGGTATTAATAGGGTCTTCATTCAGCTGACACGGGTGTGAGTGCGAGTGTGAGTGGGTTGCGTGCGGTGTGTGAGAGAGCGTCGGCCTTAGACACTCAATTGACCCTCAGCCAAAAGTCGTTTGTATTGCAATTCTACACAACATATTATTTTGAATATTTTCAGGATTTTTTAAATTTATTTATTTTTGCGCTGGGGCTGCCCGGAACCCTGCGCGGGAGTCATGCCCGGCCAGGCACCTGGGCATAAGTTGGGTGCCTGGGCGCCTGGAAAAACAGCCTAGGTTCTGATTACTTTCTTATATTTCCGATGAATTCCCGGAAAGTAGCTCATCAGTATCCAACAAGCAAGGTCTGACCTGCCGTCAACATATGGCTATGTCCAAAGAACACCTGGAAGGCTGGAACCAATGAGCCTGGCTGCCTAGTTCAGTTGCTACACCGATGAGCTGTTGAAATACAGACCCAAGCTTGCACCCCGACGGACCTCGATGTACGCAATGAAATAATTCTGAGGGGGAAGCCAAGAAGGAACGTATGGCTATTTCTCAAAGAACACCTGGAACCAATGAGCCTAGCTCAGTTGGTACACCAGTGAACTGTTCAAACTCTGATGGACCTAGATGTATGCAATGAAATAATTCTGAGGGGGAAGGAAAAGAAAGGAAAGAAAAAAAAAAGGATTAAAAAAAGAAGGTAAAATTGTTGAAATACCCCTCCAATTTTTGGGTATTTCCTCAGATACCCCTAAAAAAGTAGCGACCTAGTTGATGACCATAATGTGTGTGTGTGTGTGTGCGTGTGTGTGTGTGTGTGTGTGTGTGTGTGTGTGAGAGAGAGAGAGAGAGAGAGAGAGAGAGAGAGAGAGAGAGAGAG